CCCCCCCCCCCCCCCCCCCCCCTTTACTGCAGATGTATCGTTATACCAAAATTGGACGTCCTCTTTCAGGACCTTGGCTAAAAGCCTGTCAGTTGAGCTACAGGATATCTGTTTGTTAAAATGTATAATTTGTGAGAATCAAGCAAGCACATTTCCTGTCATATAGTGTTGAAACATTAATGACGTCCATAACATCCACGTTCATGATCCCAATGGAAAAGCAAGTGTTAATAATGCAAGGAGGAGAGGCACTGGATCCGAGTCATCGTATTTGTAATTACTCAAGTGCAGGAACAGTAAGTAATTATTATTAACTACTAACTAGTTACCACAATCTAACCTGATTGTAGTATGGAAATTGTACATTAGGTTATACTGTTAGTATTGAAGATTTTATATGTGATCAGAATATCATTTCCATAGACATAGCATTGATTTCATATGATCCTTATATATATGCATTTCTTGATGACTTTCTTTATTTTGTAGGAACAAAACCCAATATTTCTATTCAGCAAAACAACCATTGAATCACCAATGCCACCTTCGCCAAGTTTGAATTTAGGATCAGGTAGATTTTAAAATCATTTACGTATTTCTCGATTTTGCAAGAATCCCTGTTGTGGGCATATTTACAAAATGGTTTTGGGAGCATTGTGCATGCTTATTTTGGAACATTAGTGACACAGTGGTTGGTGCATGTGCCTTTATATTTGCGACTAAGTCCTGTTTCATGTATAATAAAGTTGATTAGAATTTTGCCTCCGTTGCATTTCAAGAGAATAGAGTGTTTCCAGTTTGACTTTACTAACCGTCCAAGGTTTTCTCTGAGTATTCTGATTTCCTCATTTACTTACAATGAACAATTAGGATGGGACTTATACTGGACTTCTAGTGTTTAGAACTGATATATCCAGTATTATTAGAATGACAAAATTCCCGGATGCTGCATGATTGGTTGAGAGGAGTACAATTATTTCATTAATTGTACTGCAGCTGTACAATTAATGATTTTCCAAAAACAAACAAAATGGCGGAAAGGTATTTAAACACAAATGAAATTGCCGTAGAGGAACTTAAAACAAAAGAACTAAATGAAAATATACGAACAAAAGCACCAAATTTTGGTTGATAGTCTGGCAGGACTGGGCTTTGGCGAGAGAATATGATGTTGACATTGAGAATTATCCAATTTTGTCATGCTAATAATAAACAAGTAACCGGCGGCTCGTCCAATTTTGGCAAAATTTCCAAACACCACTCGTACTATTAATCCCTAATTGTACTTGCCATCGCATGATTACCTATACTAATTGACGTTAGATTAGTTTATACTTTGAAGCAATACCTTTACAATACTACAGGTAGTTAGTACTGCTTTTTATTTATTTAGAAACATCACTTAAAGAAGAAGTGGAAAGGTCACTGCAATTACCTCCAACGTATGAAACTCTTGTTGCCAGGGCAAAGTTAGCAATGGTATGCCAAGCAAGTACTGTGCATAGAGATTGCTCACAAAATTTGCCTGCCAGTATGCATGGACATACAGTACCTCATATCATCTTATAATAATATAAGATTTTTGTCAAGACCAAATTTCTCCTCATATCTTCTTCTATTATTTTTTCACTGACATCACGTGCACTTTTACTAGGTCGTTTGTTATGTATAAATTCAGTCAACTTTATATAAAATTTTATAGTTTTTCACCATTAGAATTGTACGTAAAACTTAATCCGACAATGGCATACACTGTACCTGTACATCGTGATAAAAAGATGATGAATACATATATCATGATTAAATGTCGAAAATTATATTAAAACCATTACGTACGTGATCGCATACAAATTTTATTTCAATTGAAACTTATGAACAAACATTAGCCATAAATTGTACTGTTTTATATAGACAGTTTAACTTTAAAATATTTGTAATTACAATCTTTTTAGTATATTACACCTTTACTCTATAAAAGACACAAGCAGTCAGTATATCTTTGAAGGTCCTCCAGTTAACCTATATCCTGCAATATTCTTGTTCCATTTACTTGTATAGAGATTCCAAGATATGGGTTCTGAGTTACTACAGAGTTGTGTTACTCTTATTAACGAGCAGCATCTCCAGAGACAAGGTTGGCTAGCTGTGGTTGCTAACTTGGAAAATATAGCAAGGTATTAATTATATGGACTGTATAGTCTGTATATTATTATATTATTACGGTTTTAAAATGTCCTGAATGAGCTATTTCTCTGTGATACGTGCCAATCCTTCTCGTTTGATGTAAAGATTATTGCAATCAGGCCTCGAAATAAGTGCCGGTCACCGGTCACTGACCGGTAAAATTTCACAGTTTGACCGGCAAATATCGTCGCCTGACCGGCGCATGATAAAAGCGTACGTTCAAAAATGGAGCAGATTATTGATTTTCAAGTTTCCAAAGAAGTGTATGTCCGTCTTGAGCGCAGGCTAATAAGGGCGGCGAAGTGACACATTTTGTCGTACAGATACGATATACAGTACCGCAAGCATTGTGCCTAAGGGACCGGTCAGTATTTATGGTGGGGGGTGGCACCGAAGAGAAATGTTTTTCGTGGTAGAAATTTTGTTGACCCAACCATTAAAAAGTCAAAAAATTGATTACCCAACCTCAAATATAAATTGAAAAATAATTACCCACCCCTGGCCAAAAACTTTACAAAAGGATACCATTCAGTTGTCACACATGTCTTTTACCACTTCTATGACATGAGTTTGATAACGGCTTGTGAAATTTTCTGCAGTCTAAAGTTTCATGTTGCACTTTCTTTGGAAACACCATTTGTTTTGCCAAAATGATCAAGATAGTGACTCTGATTGATTCACGTATTGTATTGACAAATGACTGTTGACATTGCTTTTCAGTCTCCAATATTTCAGTGCATGGGTCATGCTTTGGAAATGACAATAAATTTTGATTACCCAAACCTTCAGTTGTTTTGTTTTTCATTTACCCAACCTTTTACTTACTCAAAATTTTGTTTACCCAACCTTTTTCTCTTCGGTGCCACCCCCCCGCCATAAATAATGACCGGTCCCTAAGGGCTGTTTTCCAGTTACGCGTTTTTCACGTGCGACAGAAAAGTTTAAATCTTTCATATTAGTGCAAATAACCCAACAAATACACATTAAATCATACACAAAACTGAATGCTGTCCTTTATAAATTTAGTTATTTCATGAGTAGGATGTAAAGCCGACTGACGACTGGACTAGATTTCAAGTCCGCGCAATCAAGTTCAGTTCGAATTGGAAGATTTGAGATACTGTACATGCATGCACACACCGGAACAAGTATATATATAGAATAAGCTAAATTGAACTTCAAGGGAAAATTGTTTGCCTAACAAACAAGCAAATTCATTTGTGCACATGATAAATTAATAGTTGCCATATAATACAGCATTATTATTTCCATATATGGTTTCCTTGTGATTTCCTTATTTTTCTCTTACTCTCACAGTACGTTTGAAAATAGAGGATCAATCCTAGAACAAAGTTATACAGAGTTTTTGGAGATAATTCCTCAGTATAAATCTCTTCTTGACAGGTAAATATACTATTTAAAATAGAACACGGTTTACATGCAATTTCCAACTTTTTTTCAAGTGAAATCCATTTTCATATTAAAATTACATAATACTGCATCTCATGAACTATATTTTATTCTGGTCGCAATTACTGCAGACCGCAACTATAGTATGAAATACCTAGCAACCCTGGATTTCTATTCCGTTGCTATATAGCTCCCATTACCGCTACCAGATTAACTACTATATCTACAAAAATTAATGTAGCGTACATGTACTTGCGTACAGTATATAATATCTTTGTCCCGGACCGTTAGAAAAGCGTGGTGATGGTGGTGGTGTTAAGAGGAGAAGAACACAAAAAATCCATATACATACACGCAAAAACGTACTGAAAAAGTCCATACAGCCAAAAGGTGGAAGAAAAAATAATATATCATGCACAACACAAAAAAAGACATGCACACCAAGTGAACCATAAAAAATCAATGCATGGCAGAAACTTACCCCCACCCTACTTTTCTAATGGTCCATCCCTAATGTATATCTTTAACTTTGTTAAATTGAACAATAGAGTCTACAATCATTGATATTTGACAATCATGATTTGCTATTGTTTTGTTTAACTTAACCAATTTTGTTTTTGTTTTTATTTAGTTTTCAAAGCGTTATTGAACAACTTTCCAAACTTCCAGTATTTCCATGTTTGATCAAAGATGACGTGAAATCACTTCTAACAACTAATAGAGCACCCAATCTTTTGGATTGGATAAATGCTCAAGTACGCTAAGTACAAAATTATTGAGAAAAATCGCTTCTCCTGTAACTATTTCACTATATGAACAGGTCAACACGTGCATGCTTAAAACATTTGTATGAGCTACTTGCTTTTCTCACAAAACGGTAGTGAACAAGGCAGGCGAGGCCCAATAATATATTAGCGATCAATACAATCACGCTGCATATCCAAATTCATCATTTAGTTAATAATGAGGTTTTATACGGAAGCATGAAAACAAGACATGCTGTGCTAAGTGGTTATATTACCACCTTAAAATATAACCACTCAGCACAGCATTTCTACATTGGTACTACCCACACTGGTACAGACAGTTTTAGTATGAAAACAAGACCCCTCCTATATTGTTTGCTTCTTACAATAACAATTAGTAGAGCATTGATCTATTATAAAGCAGTAGTCTAATTGATATCCTATATGTCTTCTTAGCAGTAAAGTTATCTAATTTAATTCCTAACTCCAGAGGTACAAACAGTATATGTGCAGTAAAGTCATGTATGGTAAAAACTGTTTAGGATGAAAGAAATAGTCTTGAAGACATGGTTCGCCAGTGTATTGATGCTTTGGGACAATTTCAAAATTCTTCGTTACTTGAGATACAGAAAGACCGGCAACAAGTACTTGGTTAGTGAAAATTGCAATATACTGTATATGCTTTTCTGCTCTCATCAAAGGCATATGGTACCAATTGACAGATGCATGTGTAGACACATATGGGCGCTATGTTTGGAGGGTCAGTGGTCAGGCGCGAAAGTGCGATCTTTCCTGACACTTCTCAGAGTTGTAGACTAGCCATGCGACTTTGACCCGAGTGACGATTTTTTTTTCGATTTGACTTGAAATGGACGCATGCATGCATAATGACTTGTGAGCTGACTTGAACTTGCAAAATGGTACTTGCAGTCTTGTAAACAACTGTGACACTTATACAACTATATTGACATCTTCTTGTGTACAAAACCAAAAATGCAGGTACAAACATTTTCTGCAAAAGGAGCGCGCCTGAACCATCATAAAGACACAAACACTCTTTGTTACCTGAAGTACAGGTTGTCTAACTACAGTCGCCTTTGTTTTCAAAGTCAAGTGGATACGATTCTGAAAGAAATTATTCATATATGATGTATCTCGTTTTCAGGGGATGTTTCTAACAAAAACATAAAAGAAATTGGTGGTTTAGAAGAAAGATTGAGTATGTTGTCGAAACTTTGTGATAAAGCTCGTACACTGGGTCAAGAACAATCTGATATGGCACAGGTAATTTTGTTTCCCAAGTTCGTTATAAAGAGCACATTGGTATATTTATTGTGGATATGGTTGCAGTTAAAGGCATGGAGTGGAGCTGCCTTTCTAAACCTAGAGTTACTGGCTAACAACTCCAAAAATGTACATATCTAAACCTGTAGCTATATCTAAACCTGGAGTTACCAACTCAAGAAATCATATGGAGCCAGTTGTGTAAGCCTGGAGTCAATAATAACTGACTTCACTGACTTTTCATGCACTGACTTCCAGACGAAGCTCAAAGAGCCCAAGTACTTTTTATATCTGTCAGGTAGTTAGATTCCTTAAACCAAGCTCGTGAATATACTTCAAATTAAGTCTTTTTCTAAAGTTACGTTAGGTGACGCTATTCTAATCAAATAGATTTGAAATTCCAAACCAGCATTTGGCGTGTTGCCCTTGATGAGTGCCAATAATTAATATTGTTATAATGCTCAAAGTCATCAGAAAACTTCTTCACAATTCGAACAATTCAATGAAAAGTTTCAGTTATGACAACTCATAAGTACGGTTATAATAATAAATTATATATTTCAGTTAAGTTATTGGACTTTCCAATGTTTCCAATGTTGTCACACAGTTTACCAGAAAAAATTAATATTGAACTTGCAATTGATTTTTCATCATCCTTTCCATCTTTAACAACGTTATCATTTTAAGTCGCAAGTCAAAATATGAAATTTTGTTTGTGTATATATCGGATTTTCTTTCTGTCATGCACTACGGCTTTGGTTACGTCATTTCAAAAAGATATCGATGTGTCCGAAAATATTCGCTAGCTAGTGCAAACAAATACGTTTATGTGAGGTTAATTAAATTAATTGACATCACAAAGCGCGCCCTAATTAATTACCCATCATCCTTTGTCCAGACACAAGCGTATAAAAGGTCCGACGCAATAATTAACTTCGTCACAATTAGCTGACTGCAAGCGATAGTACGTTGTGTTTCGCGCAGTAAAAATTCCTGCATTTCTTAAAAATGGCGAGTGCTGAACAGCAAACTGATATGTCAATGGTACAATCTCAGTTAAACCAAGCTTTGGAATGGCATGAGAAGAACAAACAATTTCTTCAAGAAGTTCTCAAAGTGAAAATCTTAATCAATAATCGGAGAAGTTTAGATACTGTCGTCGAAAGTACGAAAATGAAATTTTGTGAAGACAAATTGAATAAAGAATGCCAAAAACAGTCAGAGCATAGACAGCTGAATGGTAAGAATCACCTTACATTATAAATATTCTGTAATAAAATTTACAAGATTCACAATGTTTTCTTGGCTTGCATCTTTTGCACGGATTCAAATAGTCTTTCCCGTTGCTATGCAACTAAATCATTAACTGAATGCTGTCGCTATTCGCGCGCGCTAGTATTCGACATAATTGCATGCGCATTCTTTACTTGACTTAAATGTTAAAACACATTTAAAACAAAGAGTAACTCAAAATTGGCTGATTGTATATTTTTATTATTTATTAGTGATTTTAACTTTCGTTTGTTTTGCAGAGCTAAAATGTCTTGGATTTCTGCTGGATTATCCAGTAGAACAAGAAAAGTCTGCTGACAACATTAAAGACTTTGATGTATATGTTAATAACAACCTGAAAAGCGTTACCGACGTTTCTAATGACAAGCACCCTGTTGATAAAGAGCCTGCAAATAAAAACTTTCTTTTGCTGCTGAAGCGGGCAATGAAACTGCATGTGGTTACCTGGAAAGCGAGAAACGACATTCCGAATCTGGTGGGCGTCCTGAGATTGAAGAACTTTCAACTGAAGCGGAAGAAACAGCTCCTGTCTGTTCCAAATTAGGCAAACGAAACAAAAATGAAATTCCTGATGGCAATAAACTTACACCACCAGTTTGTAGTGATGTGGATCCAGAGAAGAACAAGATTGAAGACAAAGAAAATACTGGTGATGAGGTAAATAATAAATAAATCTTGATAATACCTCTACAGTAACTAAACTAAATAAACGAAAAAGCGTTTTTCATACAAACGGGAAAATGTTCCTAAATTTTATGTAGGTATACTATATAATTACCTCAACAAATATTATAAATCATACACAAAACTAAAGTTTATTCATTTAGTTATTTCATAAATACCATTCAAACAGATTTGAACTTTTCCATGTGTTTACACTGTAGCTATATGCACGTATATAAAACGCTTAACTGAAGTGCAACCCTATGTATAAGCAAATGCAGAATAAAATTATTTATGTACCTTTATTACACCGGACAGCCTATCTTCAACGTAGGTCTGGAAAGAATCAATTTCTTTCAGTGACACTGTGCTAGAACAAAAAATTGTCTGGCATGCCATATTTCGATATGACCATGATTAATTAAAGAACGAAGTTACAGTATCTATCAATCTAAATCTAGTGTTGTAAACAACTTAATTGTCGACTTATTTCGAACATTCAATGAATGCTCTTGTTTTTAGCCATATAATAAATAACTTAATGACTGAGCTTGTTCGGTCCAGTATCCTACAGCCCGAACCTCTGAAAGAACCAACTATTATCCCGCAGTTCGGACCATGTCGCTCAGTGAATGACAAACATATCTGCATTGCAATTTAGTCCCTCAATTTCTTCACTTATTTTATTTTTATCTTTTTCGTGTCTGCTTCGGTCTTTCTTTATTTCCTTATTTTTTTGGTTGCTTTCTTTCTTCCTTCCTTTGTTTCTTTATTTCTCACTCTATCCAACACTTTTCTTGGAACTTAAAACATTTTCTGAGATCGAATGGTCCCGTGGTCCAATACTTTTTGCATGACCCATGATCCTACCAGACGTTTCACTAATTCCAAGCGGGCGTGGAGCATGCATCAACGCACGGGCGGCGAGATTTATGGTCGGATAGCTCTAGTTCATCAATTGTTTTACTGACATAACCTAGTAAAAAATGCCTGGCCAACAATCTATGCATAGCACGCCTTTTAACAAGCATGCGTGATATGTCTTTTTCTAGAGTAACTCGACCAGTACTACAAAGACAGAAGTGCCAATCACTGCATTAGACCAAGACAGAGACGAAACAGTAAACCGTCGTCATGTTTATGCTAATGTAATAATTTTGAACAAAAAGGATGATGATTCTGATAAAGGGAGCTGTAATGTTGAAGTCTCGCGTAATGACATGATACCTTCTCCTACCTCAAGACGATCTCCATGTCAATGTGGAGACCATGATGATCATTTTGGTAAGTTCGTGTTATGTTAATCACTTAATCTGTTACTGTTCCGTTATGCTGCAATTATGGCTATACACTTGGTAATTTGTGCTGCAATTTGCAACGTAATTACTGATACAGAACCATGTGATGCACAAAAATATTCACAAAAAATGGTGAGCATGGTCCACTCCACGGATATTTTCCACTCTCCTTCATTTCTTCCATGTCCTTACGGTAGTTTAGCATAAGGGAAACGTGGCAGTCTCAACATGCATGAGTGTGTCACAACCATTGAGCTCTATATATCTGGAGCAAGAATCTCAGTCATTCGGTCTATGAGAAAAGCCAAGATACGGGAAATTGACATCCAGTAGCTATGAAGGTCGTAAACAGTTTTAGTACCATTTTCCCAGCTAATGCCAGTTTTTCTAACGGACGGTATCCCTAAACAAGTTATCAGTTCATAGAAACATGGCGTTATTCTTTAGATCGATGTCTACATGTAAATACGAAATTTCGGCACACTCCTTGCCAGCTTCGTGTTAACCGCACAGACGAAAACAATAGAAAGGGCCTGGAATTAACGTCCAATAGCTCGTCAATTTCCGCCATCTTGCATTCACTTTTGGACTCGAGTTCTCGTTCCAGATATATATGGAGCTCATTGGTTAGAAGTTGCGTTGCAAACCGTATGCAAAAAGTGAAAATATTGTCTAGATGTCCACGCGAATTGACTGTATTTTTTGAAGAGATGCGTGCCCGTGAACAAATTGACGGTGTTGAAACATGATAAAAATATAATGCGAAACATGATAAAAATATAAATGTATACTTTATTTTGCAGACGAAATTATTGTATCGAGTAGCAGTGATTTAAATATAAGGAAAAAAGACAACAGAAAAACCAAGAAAGAAAAGAAGAGAAAGACTAATAAAAGAGAGAAAATGTCTAAAACTGAGAAGAAGAGTGTTAGAGAAGATAAAGTTTTAACAACAAAGTCCACCAAATTCCATGAGAGACTTCTTAATTTATTCTGCTTCCCTTCTAATATTGAAGAAAGGGATGACTTGGAATGTAGAAGATGGAAAAGCTGAAAATCTAGGAAAATACATTGCGTTCAATAGTGTGATGCGTTTGTCAAACCTATATTGACTTAAATGCGTTCATGGTTAAGTAATTTAGATATAATGAAGCAACTTTATTTTTGTATTATATATATAACTATATGCATTGTACAGTTTAAATATAAAATGTTGGATTATAAGATTTACATATATATACCAGTATAAGAAATAAATTAAAAATTAAAATTTTGAATAATTTAAGTTCTGAAAATAAAATTGGATATATATACAAACATATATTCGGAGCCCAGTCTCGTAATATAAATTTTTATCATTAACTCGATATAATTGCAGTTAAAAGAGCCATATAGCTGATTAGATTCACAAACCACATTCTATGCATTGGCCACTGCTTGGTTTTGGAATATACCCGAATTACTCGAATTTGAAACATTCCCTAACTTGAATTTTATCGCATGAGTGCAGGCTTTATATCGAGTAAACAGCTATCTCAGATATTGCTAGCCGCTGGATATAACAAGTGCCCGATTGCATGATTTCTTGACAAGAACGAAACAATCGGGCTACTGTTAAGATAATGCTCGCTTTAAAAATTCTGCGGTGATAGAATAATTAATTTTCCATGACAATATTCAAATTTCTGTTGAAAAAAATTCGTTTTTATGTTTCGATCCAAAGGTTTCGATCATTGAAATTATAGCTTGAATGCGTTCTTGGTCAAGAGTCACGGTACTGCATGCCTTCATCGTTCATCTCCTCAAAAGTCTGAAAAGGCTAAACAGTAAAGTTTACCATGTAAACTATGCAAGAATACGAAAGCCTTGAGACCGCACAAAGATCTTTCTGCAGACAAATTTTTGACTGAGAAGAGCTTGTATTGAACACATTTTATTATATTTATGTAACGATATATGTTTTGACAGGGTTTCAACTGCATGCTAAACAAAACTGCAAGTCTTTACCGTTGTTGACCCTAACCCTAACTTAATATTCGACATTTTGCTTTGGAAGTAAATGAAAATCGAACGCCAAAAGAAGTTTGTTATACTGTAGCAGATTGAAACACCGAAAATTGCGTGAAATGCTTAATGTGATAAAATGTACTATTACCAGGTTTAACAGTACTTGTCAAGTTACAGTAATGTTTTCTTTTTGTTCAGGGATTTTCTCAGAACCAGGTTCGTGCTCAGAATATCGGAGATCCATCAGTATTACCAGATCTTTGTTCAAGTCATCAAACTCAACTCTCGCTAATGATGAATAACCATTCACAACTGAGGTAAATTTTTATTCATCTGAATCCTGGCCAGGGTAATACAAAATCAGTAACATATCCGTCATTATATAGCAGTCATTATTGAAATCGCACTTCACTGATCCAAGTTTTATTCTGCATTGTGTAGAGATATTCGGAGAAGATGCGCCAAAGCAAAAGATGAACTTTCTGGAAACTTGCACGCCCGCCTCAGGTATTAAGGATAGATCGAGCCTGTTGATGGAGCAGTCGCCAATATGGCATTATTAAATTTCAGTTATTTTTTATAATCGCCTGTATTTGAAGGAAATTCGTGCCCACCTTGCCCAAGCCTAGACAGTGACCCCCCCCTGTAAATCCATCCGTGATATAATAGACGTAACAAATTTTGTGTTGTTAAGGTGGGTCATGATGATTGAGAAAAATATTTGTGATTGTGATAACAAGTTGGTGATGTACCATGAAAGTATGAAACGAATGAAAAAACGGTAATGTATTCATTGCAAAGCATGTCTCAACCTCGTCCCCAGGGTCTTCCTCGTGATGGCGCGTGAGCTGAGGCCCTGGGGATAGCGGGCTATTTGACCCCCATCCTCGTTCCCCGAGTCTGCGATCATCCGGAATGAACGCAAGGCTCTGGGATAACCCGTTGCTGTTGAACTACGCATTCCATTTCAACGGCCAATCAGATTCCTCCGTGAAACGGATTATCCCAGAGACTCGCGTTCTTTCCCGAGGATCGCAGACCCGGGGAACGAGATTGTTTGACCCCATGACCCAGCTGTCAGGCCCACTCCCTGGGTTCTTTTCCGTATATTGCATACTTAAACCGTTGCAGCGGTGGAAAAAACTATAGTGTTGGAAAAATCTATAATGGACACTTAAACTTCACTTCAGGGCAAGTATAGCATACATGCAGTACTTGACATGATTTTACTCTGGACGCTACTGTAAATATTTTAAAATATGGTTTGCATTAAGCGAATGTGTTGGAATGAATTGCTTTTAAAATTATCTACACAAAAGCAACAAAAAATGTAGAATGTAAATCCAGAACGCTAGTCTACATTCGATGTAGTAACCAGTTCTGTACAGTGATTAATTTGATCTCTTGCTTTCTTGACAGAATGGAAATTCTGGAACAAATTAATGTTGCTCCTCGTATTTACGCTTTGACTGTTAAAGAAGTTGTACGAAGGCGAGAATTTACATCGCAGTTTGCAAAGGTAAATTATTACTCTGTGTATGTATGAACAGGCTTTGAAAAGCGGATATCATAGCCTGTCCACACACATGTGAACAACACCTAAGCAGATGAATTTATACAGTTTGTTTTTTCTAATTTGAATTTATTAAATTTAGTATAGAAATTATCACAGAATAACAATTATACTAGGTAGGGTAACAATAGGACACGAAGTCCTTTACAAACTGCCTCACTTCTACAAGTATGTTTGTGTTTATGTTTGTGTTTGTGTTGGTGCCGTCAACATCCAAGGCAACATGATCCATTAAGGTTACAAATGGGAGCTCTGTACAAGATTCAACTACCTGAAAAATACAACTTCGAACTCCGAAGTTCTTTTTGTATTTTTCTGGTATAGTTGAATCTTCTACAGAGCTCGTATTGTGAATCCTTGCTACCTATACTGGCACCCACCGTTCGAGATTGTCGAGGTTACCATGTCAATTAGTATAGGTAATCATGCGATGGCGAGTATAATTAGGGATTAATAGTACTCGCCCCGGTGGCTCGTCCAATTTTGGCAAAATTTCCAAACATCACGAGTACTAGTAATCCCTGATTGTACGAGCAACATCGCATGATTACTTGTTTATTATTAGCATATGACAAAATTGGATACTTCTCCGTCAACATCGCCAAAGCCCAGTCCTGCCAGACGTTCAACCAAAATTTGGTACTTTTGTTCGTATTTTCATTTAGTTCTTTTGTTAAAGCAAAATTTGGCGCTTTTGTTCGTATTTTCATCTAGTTCCTCAAGGGCAATTTCATTTCACTTTTGTGTTCAAAATACCTTTCCGCCATTTTGTTTGTTTTGGGAAAATCATTAATTGTACTGCAGTACAATTAATGAAATAATTGTACTCCTCTCAACCTATCAGAATCCAGTAATTTTGTCATGTTAATAATAAATTTCGCAACTAGCGTGATATTTGTATTACATGTACATCACTTTTGACGAGGTACCATTGTCGGTGGAGATTACAGTAATCCATTTGCTGGTGATGATACTTGATTATTCATGCTGATGCATCTCAAACAACTAACCGATTTCATCCCTACCCACGACAGTGGGCAATTTTACCATAGAATAATCAATGTAATAATAATGTAGTGTTATTGGTCTCGTGTTACTTGATAAGTTGATATCATATTCAATGTTTGCCTGGCCGTTGTTATGTACTATTACATGCAACTGTACAATTTTTATTTAGATATTTTCCTGTACTTTAATGATAATGAATCTTATAAATTTTTATCAGTGGGCCGGAGAAGTTTCACAACAATCTGACGGAGTTTATAAGGAAGAGATCGCCAGCCGTCATGAATACTTGCATTTCGTTAGTAAGTGCTTGTTAATATTTCCTTAAAATTCTGAAAACTTTATCCAAATCAAATTCTGACTTGTTTTTGTTGTGTTTTTCTTCAACCAACTTTTCAGGCAATCATTTTCTTAAAAATCTTTTCACTGGGATTGAAGACATGCCGACACAATTTGCTGTAAGTACTCGTGGTTAATAGTTAATGGGTAAAGAGAGTATAACTCCCCATTGCCGTTGGATTCTTTCAAATTGCTGTAAATTGTAGCTGTGTTGTTACATTGGTTAACTTTGGTAGTTCGAAAGTGTTCATCCTAGAGAGGGCCAGTAAGGTTATTTCTATTGTTCCAGCGTTACTACTGGAAAAACCATAATGAAAGGCTAATGCATTGACCACTCCACCAACATCAATATGAAGCAAAATGACCCATTCGCTTAATAAAATTGTTTTATTTTTAGACTATTCCCGATGACTTTGATAGCGATTTGCCTCCACTCACTTGCAATGAGCTAAGAGAACTCACGAACTGCGCTCCTGATTTATTTCATAAGCAATCTCATGATTCACATAACAAACCACACAACGATGACAATCGAACTTTTCCGCCTTTGGTTAGAGAAATTGTAATGAAATCTTCATTTGATGAAATAGATGGTACAATAAAGGATAAAACTAAAGAAATTTGTAGAGAGGATAAAAACATAGATAGGACAAATGTGGTTGAGAAAGATTATACTGATGATGCGAAGGACGATACATGTAATGAGACTGCTGGTGGTGAAGCGAAGGAGAAAAGTATCACCACGCAAACTTTGGGGCAAGAAATCATTTCATCTAATATAGTTATTAAAGAAAATTTGCTGGAGGGTGTTAATAAATTGCGCGGAGAACTACAGCAATTGAGTGTTGCTACATCATCGTGGGACGAAAATATGAAGAAATATTTTGACGAACGATTGTCAGTGCTTGAAGGAATTAAAGTAAAGGAAAGAAGCAGATTATTGTCTGCGAAGAATGACTCTGAGAGTATTAAGGAATTGACTAAAAATGTAGTAACATTAAAAAAGAAAATTGCCAGTCTAAATTCTGAAAATGAATCGTTAAGAAAAGAAATTGAAGCTAAAGATATAAGTTTTTCAGAGAAAGAATTAAGATATCGTAACGCCCTAGAGCGGAAAGAACAATATGCAACTGAGTTGGAGTCTGCAAAAGAGACTTTTGAAGCCGAACAACAAATCCGTTTCAATAGCGCTATTGGTAGAGTTATGAAAGAAAAAGAAGCTGCTTTGAAGAAAGCCGATGAACAGTTAAGTATTTTGAAACTTTTACAAGAGAAAAATGACGAGAAACTTCAAGTATTGTTCAATGAAAAGGAAACATTGCGACAGGAAAAAGACAAGTATACAAGGAAAGTAATGGAAGTACAAGCTGAGGTTGATAGGAGTAAAACAGAAATGGAAGAATATAGAGTGGAAACACAGCAACATTTGGAGGAAATGGAAAGAGAGTTAGAAAATGAAAGGAAAGAAGCTGCGATGATGCTTGAAGCAGAAAAACAGAAATGGGAAACGGATTCATCGGGATCTGGTTCAGGGTAAGATCTCCATGCTTATTTGAATGACTTTGAATATTACTATCCCACAATACTGTGACGTCGTAAAGTATAGAGTATATTTATATTATTTATTTATTAACTTTACAACCTTTTATACATGAACAAATACTTGAAATTGAACGACTAAAGGTCCCCATAAGAGGCGGATAGTTTTGGTGTATGATTCACCTCAACATGTCATAATCAACCTGTGACGTAAAAAGCCGCAAAGGAATATTAAACATTATTTTACACAATTTGGAAACTTCGTGTTTAAGCGTGTTTGATATTATCCATCTTGGAAATTCACTAATCTTGTGGGGTGTATGCGTACAGTACGGCAGGTGGTATTGAAAGAACGTTCCATTACTCCATTACCTTCGTATTTTCTTCATTTAGGAAAATTATTAGTGAACTTGTCGTAGACCGTTTTAAAAAGAGAATAAAACATTTGGAAGAGGTACAGTATGTGAAAATATCTTCAAAAGTGAATAAACAATTCATATCACCTTTGGAAAATTGTTATCACTCTCATACAATTTATACCTTTAGGAAAATGGTTTATTGAAAGATCGCTTGAAATCTGGTTCAGGTATCCGTTTTCATTTATAAACTACACATGTTGGGGAATGTTGGGTGACCATATCATTTCTGTGCAAGTTATTAACTTTGCGCATCAAATTATTTCCTTCCCCCATTACGTAAGGATTAGATCATCATCTCCGTAATGTACCTCGATCTCTTGCATCATCATCACGTAGTCCACTCCCTTCATTCTCTCCCATCATCGTCTTAATTCCATCACTCCTTGTCGTTTGTCTTCCTCTGGATCACTTTCTTTTCACATGTTTGTTCTATACTCTCGTGGCTTATTTCATCTTATCTATTGTAATGATATACACAAACCATCTCATTCTTGTTTCTACGTCCTTGACCATGTTCTACTCCATCCTGCTCTTCTTTTAGCTTCCCTGTTTATAAAATGTCCTTAGAATGGGATTCTTTGTATCGATCATAAAGTTCATCTCAGTTCCCCCACATTTCAGTTCATCAGAGTTTGGGTTAAGTGTTCTGTATTCCTTTTGTTTCCTTTTGTTTAGATGGTGATGAGAAACTATTGTTTGTTGAGTTACAACAGGTACGTCATCTCTTGCTTCAGTGATCACTTTCTGTTATAAATGTTGCTTTACCCCTTGGTCACGCTTGATCCATATCTGATGAACATCTTTCGACAAGACACATTAAGTATTATGTACTATTGAGATGTGGCTTTTTGCATATTAGGATAAATATCATTGATGTAATATTTCAAATCCGATTATGAGGACTGGACTAGATTTTGAACTCCACGCAATTTGATCAAGCAACTTGAAATCTAGTCGAGTCCGAATTGGAGGGTTTTAAATGACATCTCATACGGATAAATCCCTACTTAAAGTGAGGTGAATTAATTTTGATCCAGTCCTAGGACTGAATTTATTTTGATCCACTCCTAGGACTGGATCAGTATACTTCACCAGGTATCCAGTATTATCATGTAACCAAAATAAAGCAATATGGTTGGCTAATTTACTCATGAATTATTAATGAGTTTGAGATATAATTATCTGCCCCTGGTGTCCGTGCTGAACCTGTTAAAGCTTCTCTTTATAAGAAATTTTAAACAGAGACATTTTATAAAAATATTTTGTTTACATGACTAAGGTTTCGTTGTAATTACAACATCTTCAGAGACTAAAAAACGATTTTAACAAACTATGCTTTTGATTATTGGAAACTGATTTCGTGTCAGAGAATATAGCTGACTAATGAGTTTGTATTATGTATTATGTACGGTACTGTCGATACATAATAGAACTTGATATAGTCCATGTTTAACATCCAATTAACTTTCATTATCAAAATACTTACTACGTTTATTACGTTTGATTAATCCGAGATCTGCAATGTTTTATGTGTTTTAGACACTGGAGGAAAAATACAAGGAGTGTGATTCTCTTCGGGCAGAACTGGTAAGTCTTTTTTGAGTACCTACAAATTGTACACTCTGTGATCTGTATCTACTTTATTCATCTTCTTACGGTAAACACTAAGAGATACTTAAAATAACTTTTTTACCTAGTAAGGGTTACATTGTCACATGATTGAGATTGGTAAAAATCATCGTTGTAGTATTATACAGTATTGCGTACCAAAGTCAGGTTTGGTCAGTTGCGAGGATCTCGAGCATTTGATTGTGGCCAATATAACAGTGTCTGAGGTGTTGATACCTCTCTGCATTTCATGGGCGGATTTACTAGGGGGTTAGGGGGAGTTAAACCCCTAAAATCTCTCTAACCCCTCTTATAAAAGTGTTCAACCCCACCGAAATTTCGCTTCACCCCTCATATTTTCTATGAAAGTCTTTAACCCGTTAGCCTAACCCCTGCCGAAGCTCGCTGAATGGTGCCGCTTGCACCCCAGTAGAAATTTTCCATCCCTCCTTTTAAAAAAATGAAAATTCTCCCTTGCTGCATTTAATAAAGATTGATTTGTTCACATACAAACTACAGAACGGTAGATCCAGACTATTTCGCTTTCAACTTGACTTGGTAGCGGCGTCTGAGCCTATAGTTGCATTCTGCCCTCTACCAGAGGGGCAATAGTTGCATTCTGCCCTCTACCAGAGGGGCAATAGTTGCATTTTGCCCTCTACCAGAGGGCCTATAGTTGCATTCTGCCCTCTACCAGAGGACCTATAGTTGCATTTTGCCCTCTACCAGAGGGCCTATAGTTGCATTCTGCCCTCTACCAGAGGGCCTATAGTTGCATTTTGCCCTCTACCAGAGGGCCTATAGTTGCATTCTGCCCTCTACCAGAGGGCCTATAGTTGCATTCTGCCCTCTACCAGAGGGCCTATAGTTGCATTCTGCCCTCTACCAGAGGGCCTATAGTTGCATTCTGCCCTCTACCAGAGGGGCAATAGTTGCATTCTGCCCTCTACCAGAGGGGCAATAGTTGCATTCTGCCCTCTACCAGAGGGCCTATAGTTGCATTCTGCCCTCTACCAGAGGGCCTATAGTTGCATTCTGCCCTCTACCAGAGGGCCTATAGTTGCATTCTGCCCTCTACCAGAGGGGCAATAGTTGCATTCTGCCCTCTACCAGAGGGGCAATAGTTGCATTCTGCCCTCTACCAGAGGGCCTATAGTTGCATTCTGCCCTCTACCAGAGGGCCTATAGTTGCATTCTGCCCTCTACCAGAGGGGCAGTAGTTGCATTCTGCCCTCTACCAGAGGGGCAGTAGTTGCATTCTGCCCTCTACCAGAGGGGCAGTAGTTGCATTCTGCCCTCTACCAGAGGGCCTATAGTTGCATTCTTCGTAGCAATTCATTCTTAGGTCTAAAAATGTATAAAATTTACACTCGAAATTTCCATCTACAAAAACCCTTCAACATTAAAATTAGAGCATTTGACTATGTTTGTATATGGCATTGCCCCTGGATAGCTGAATGCTACTAAAAATCCTTATTCACGAGTATTGTAGGTGGTGACAAAATATTGAAATGGGATTAGTGGTGTCGGAAAAAATTGAAAATTGGCCATGGATACGGTCACTGTTACAATTTTAGCGCTATTTTCCCAATTCCTCTCTTGCATAGGAACTTTTAAAACAGACACCACGGAGCTCCCAAGTTGTCTCTAAAGAGTAAGTTTCTTTTACAAATGAGACTGCAGAATTAATATTTATTATTTTATGGCTTTTCAAAATTCTCTATTCTGGTTGGTTGACAAGCGGTCCGTACCCATATCTGGGCCGTGGTCCGTATTTTCCGTATCTGGACCGGTGTCCCGGATGTCGTTTATCTGGTGGGAAATTTTTGTTTTGCAAACAGAAAAAAATGTTTGCTTTTTAATTTTCCAATTGTGTGTCATTAAAATTTACAGATAAAAATTTCAAAAAACCATGCATGCCTACCGTATATTGTTACCCAGTAAAACTGACGATAGCCGATTTAATTCGCGCGAAAAGTATATGCTCACAGACTCAGTTCAGCCATATAATAAACCGATTATTGACCTCGCTTGTTCTGTCTGTACTGTGAAATATCAGACCTCTTTTTTTGGATGGACCTCGCTCCTTCGTCGCTCGATCCATGCTAAAAAACCTCGGTCTGATATTTCACAGTACAGACCTCACGCTCGGTCAATAAGCCGTTAATATATTGTATGTATGTATTGTATGTTACTTTGAATAACAATTTAGAACTACTTCTCTTTATTGCCTTTGCAGTCTACAGAAAGGAGATATTGTGGACGTTTATTACAATGATCAATATGAACTTTACATGATCAGAAGTGAAGGAGAAACACTTTACTTTGTTCATCCCGACTCTTTAGTTAATCTTGACTTACCAGGTATGTTGACACGGAATTAAAATGCCATAATTTTTGAAGGATGAACTTCATTAACTCCTCTCTCTATTGAGCCTCCCCTCCCCTTTCGTAAAACAGATGTGTATTGTAGTGATTTATTCTTTGATCTGGAACGTTGATTAACTGGGAGTAAGCTGCCCTTTCTCCCCTAAGCGTGACAGAAATTAATAGATCCCTAGAGGATTTTATTTGCAATAATTTATATTATTAATAAGAATGCTTGTATAAAGTTATGGCTTTTGTAAGTATAGTATACATTGTAAATCTTCAGAAGCTTTCGGGCACGATCCCCACCTGTGGTTCAGAATTTTTTTCTTGCCATTCTTACAGTATTTGCATGTATATTGTATTTGCATGTACAGTATCTTGAAAACCATTGAGTATAAAAATTTATTTTATTTTAAATTTATAGAGTCAAAGACAAGGTATGTGCTGCTACAATATATTTTCTCAGACATTTTGATAAATATGTTTATTATATATTCATAGTGTATTCTCGTTCGTGATTGGTCAAAACGCGTCGGATAATTCTAGGTATCTTGAAGCCGTCGCGTTATTTCAGCTGCTGACGCCATCAGCATGCAATAGTACTTATACTAATAAGTTCGGTCCAAACCCCAGCGCGATCCATTGTTTGCTAAAAAGCGCGCGAAAATTCCATATTCCTAAAAGCGTAAACAAAATGGCTTTGAGCCGGTTCGCAACGTTAAATGATCAAGAAATTCCCAAGTTACTGGCCGAAAAAGACAGCGAAATTACAAAGAGGTCAACAAAAGTTTGCAAGACACTTTTTGAGGAGTATCTTCAACAAAAACAAAGAAATTACCTTATCATTAAATATTTACCCACTGATGTTGGTTCTTGCTTTCTTTCTAGCTTTTGAATAATAAAACAATTATTGAATTCGGTTTTCGTATGATATCGAGAATTAAGGACCACTACACGATAACGATACAATAAATGGTAAACACGCGATAATGGGCAAAAAAATTATGTTCAATAAAATTATTGTTTGACTATAACGATAACGATTTTAAAATCGCTCACCTGAGCGATTTTTTTCAGTCGGACGATAATGATAAATTTTTGACCAATCAGCGCGCGTATACAAGGTATCGTTATCGTTGTGTAGTGTGACCTGGGCTTAATCAAGGCCTCGGTTTGTGTTATCCACCTCAGCCTTCGGTGGATAACACAAACCTCGGTCTTGATAATTCACGATATTGTACTCGACCTCATTCAATAATTGTTTAATATATCCCTTCGCTAGAAATTTAATGTTATATGTGCATGTCACCATGAAACTTGTGATAGTTATTATTCATTCTGTGATAGTTCTTTTAAGAACTAAAAAAAAAGTCCTAAAAAACCTTACCAACGGATTATGATTATATGAATATGCATGATATATTGGTTAAAAATTCTGATGGTGATCTCTCCAATTTTCCCATGCATATGAAAATTAATGTACTGTTCTCTGTTTGCCCAATGTATTCAGATATATGGGTTACAGATTGGACTACAGAATTGCAACCAGATGCACTCTTTGCTGACTTCTTCCCTGTATAACTATGGGCAACATAATGTTTCAAATATGTGCAAAATATGTTTGTTTGCGTTTAGGCACACCTTTCAAGCTCAGATTTTAGACAAAGAATACTGTCAAGCCAAGAAGGTATGTTTCCAACATTTTTCTGATTATTTCGTTGTTCAACCCTTCAATCGTAAGACCATTATTAAAGGTGTCTCGTTATAGGATTTACAATTCTCTCTCGTGCTCTACGCCGGAGGGATCTGAAACCTTCGTTCGAAATGTCGATGTGTTTATAGTCTTTTCTGACTTCCCCTTCCCCTCAGCGTATTGCAAGAATACTACCTACCAGTGTAATGTTGTGTTTGAGGATACCAATTCTTTTGTTTGCAGGCTAATAACAGATTCAAGGTCAGTGCTGGTACAAAGTTCTATCGTGTTAAAGTGAGACTTTGGGATCCTTCAAGCTGACGATTATAACACTACGTTTTTACAATTGGTGAAGAAATCATCAAGTTTCGTCTGTGAAAATCACCACTAGTTTACTGTACTACCCCAAACAGTGTCTCTAAAGTGTTCGGCACAACGAAGTCCAATGAACAAATCGACAATAAATAATCTCGACCATAAGCATTTTCTTACCAAGTATAACGCCTAACATAAATAAGACTTATCTTATATTAAATAATGTTCAATGTTATTAATAAGTAGTAATACTGTTATAAATGTTTGTGAGGTGATGGAAAAATAACATATCGTATTGGTCAAGCGTACCTACATTTCTGTGAGGGATTTTATAACCGAACCCTCATGCGTTATACTTTAACAGGCGTTGTTTACCATTTTGGCTTATCGGCATATCACCTTGTTCGTCCCCTCAAGGAGAGTTGGATCGCCTCTACATGTTTCTTCACTCTTCTCAATCATTAACTTTGTTGAGATCCACCACTTCCCGTCTTCCCTAACCTGCGATCAGGCATATAAATAAAAAAATAGGCCTGATACAAACCTTAACTAAAGTCTATGCGCGTCGTACAACCGTATTTCGGTTGTAAATCTGATTGGTCTACGAGACAAAATATTTTTTAATCTGTCATTTGATTGGTTGGTGCTAATTAGATTATACTATTGTTGTTGATATATTTTATAGTGACCACAATTATAATTAGATTGTTGTTGTCGTTGTGTGAAATTTCTCCTGCGACATTTTGATTGGATACTAAATATAAACTTTGCTGTGGGTGGAAGCGATCGGATTAAGGTTTGTGTGAGGCTATTATTTGTAAAATAGAGCCTGATAAAATAGAGCCTGATACTCAGGTTACGTCTTCCCTAACACAATCCATCCATCGCTTTCTCGGTTGTCCTTTCTTCCTTATTCCTGCCTCTATCCGCTTCGCTGACTATCTCACAAAATTTTCTCCATTCTCTAGCTTCACAAGGCCACACCATAGCAGTTTGCTTTCTCATATTTTCTCTCTGAGTTTCACCACTTTTAATTTCCAACGTCTTCATTTCTCATTCTCCCTCGTCTTCTTACTTTGCTAATACCTTGCATCTCCTCTCCTTCCTGTTTGTTCAAATTATTCTTCCTCAACTGCCCAGATTCTGCGTGTATCATCATCGCGATGTCTTACTATCGTTTTGTACCCAAATATACATGATAGTGCGGGAAACACAAGGATATATAACCAGGGCAACACGGTTATATATAAACATACGTACATATAATATATTGAGCGATCCGCAACTTGGCTTTTCAATGCCCATTATATATTATACATCAGGGAGTTTTACAGCCCCCTGGTATAACCAAACTGTGTGTGCGTTGGTGTTGATATGCTGGTGTGGATAACAATAAACGTGAGGTCGGTTTTACCTTGAGAGTTTAGGGTCAGGTCATTTATCGCCTGGTGAGGTCGGAGATCACATAGTTCTTGAAGGGGGAATCAGATTCAGTGGACAGACATAAAGAGGGGGGAACATGGGGAATGACATAGTTAATGCTAATAGGAAGAGTGAATCGTCTGACCTTTTCTGACAAGACTTGGGAACCTCGGGACACTAAACTATCGCAAGATGAAGTATTGATTACCATGATTAAACACGCAGTGCTATATCCCCCAAACTCGTATCCCACCCGTTCCGCACGTTGTAACCGATAATTATTAAAAAAAGTCATCAAGTTTAGATTAGGGTTAGCGGTCAGGATTAGGGTTTGGATTAAGGTTATTGTAATAAAGAAATATAAGTGCTTTTAAAAGTCAAGCAATGTATGTTTCGCTCGAATACAAAAATATAAGTAATTTTGTTTTCTGTTGTCGCCGTTGTTGGTCACCAATATTTGAGCCCGACAGTACCAGCACTTAGCAGTGACTGTGTGAAATAGGTTTCATTGTATTGGGTCAGTTAAATGCTTGCTCTTATTGTCTGGTCTCCGAACTGATCTTGGAACTACTGGAACGTTGTTGTTTGCTGTTCCCGGGAATGCCATCTGTTTGACAAAACCCAAAGCGGAAGCAACCACCAAACAGCGGACGGAAACCGCACTGGTTACGAGGTTGGAAGCTTTGACAAATACGAGACAAATGCGAGAACCGTTGCTAGGGACTCTGGAAAAAATTGTCGGTGAAAACAAAAGTGGCACATGTTTTCTATAGTTGCCTCAAAAATTAATCGAGTACCTTGCTGGAACCTGTATTCGGCCATATTTGTGTTGGACAAATGCTGTGCTGCAATGCAAGGAACCGTTTTCAGCATAAAAAAACGATGCGGGCCTCTGTTACGTATTTTATATAATTAGCAACCTTAGTTTACATAGTGTAACTTAATTTTACTTCCCCCGTAATATAAACCTATTTTATAGAATTAGCAACCTTAGTTTACATAGTGTAACTTAATATTTTACTTCCCCCGTAATATAAACCTTCTGAGTTTTTCAAATTCCTTAAAACAAATTCCATGCTATAGTATCTAAACCTTTACATTTTATCAAGATATTTATCCAGAGGTGGGATGCCTTCGTTCAGACCCTTTCTCTTTCTTGTGTCAGCTACAACTTTGCCAGGTCTTGAGCTTGGATCGGTAATGTCTCCAGGTAAGTCTTGCCAATGATCAAACACACATTGAGGGAAAGCTTGGCCTCCAGTATTGGAACGAAGATCAGCAGTGAATCCTAATATATACATTATTCAAAAATCATTAATAATTCATGAGGAAAACACAAAGAAAGTCATAAGCGTGTCGTATCTTTATATGTGATAGAGATTCCCTTGATTTACATAAACTTTAACTTTAATTTCCTCGACTTACACAACGTATTTCTTGAAAATTACTTCGTCAATGAAATTACCAGATCGATCGTTTTTGAAACAATTTAAAACAATCGCTGTCGGCGTTTTTTATCAGACCTAAGTATACTCGGCTTCGCTTCATATCTTTATTTTTTTGTAAATCAGCGGCGGGCGGAATCCTAGCGTTTTCTGCAATCTAATTGGCTGCAGCAGCGGACGGAATTTTACGATATTTGACCACGGTCCGGAATCCTATACGTAATGGCCGAAGCGAAGCAAAAATTTTTTGTATGTTTGTTTTAAAACTGAAAAATATGAATATATAATTTTGAAATAATTTTAATGATGGATAAAATAATTGTACTATATTTTAATTGAATTGTTTGTTTTCTAAAGTAAAATAATTAAATATCAAAATTTTTTATTGTTTTGTTTTCTATATGCGCAATCTAATAAAACCGTTGCCATTTGCCTCTGAGTCTTCGACAAAAAAATAAATACGTTATTTACCGTTTAGGTCGGTCCGGATAGAAAAATATTTTGTCTCGGTCTCAAAAACGTCCCTCGGCCTATATATATATATATGATAAAACACTGCTGTGTACATAATACATTTTATTTCATCATCCGATGTATTTACAGGCCGATTTAGACTACACAACCTTTGCCTAAAACTGTCGCATGCAACCAGCTTACACTACTTGAATTGTACACTGTGTAAATCAAGCACACAACCAACCTCGTACCCAGGCTCTTACCTTCGCACGCCCCCGTGCGAAGGTAAGAGCCTGCGTACGAGGTTGGCACACAACTGGCTACGACAATGTAGGCAAGTTGTGTGCTGATTATACAGTGCAACTCAAGTTGTAAGCAGGTTGCATGCGACAGTTTTAGGCAAAAGTTGTGTTAGTCTAAATTGGTCTTTGATTGCTTTTCTAATTTTTATTTTCATTATCAAATACTTATAATATTAGATGTTTGCAGCAAAATTAAGTATCGAACTAAATTAATTATTAATATTGGACTTGTTGGTAATTTGAACTAGTGCTGTGGTGCTGCCTTGAATTCCAAAACTTAAGTTAGTCTGAAACGTACTGTGACAAACTTTGAATACCTCAAACATTTAAAAGTAAGATAAATTTAATTTTGCATCACTGTTGGCCAAGGCCAACAACCTTGTGCACCCCCGCCCCCTATAAATCGACCATGAATGACATAAACTAGTTACAGTTAACGTTGACACATTTGAACGATACGAGACGTTTCACAAGCTATATATGAGCGGCCGTGTTGCATCAGAATCTGATACAACGGCCGCTCATGCTTTATCTATTACTTACCGAATGATTCATTTACAGGCAGATACGATCTAACAACGAACATGGGTGTTCCAGCAACTTGACATTCTTCAATAACATGACCACGACGTCGGTTCAATACACCATAGATGCTGCCAACTGCAACTTCAGGGCACTAAGAATATCAACATAGCAGCATAAATATCAAGGGTGGATCTGGTCTGATTTGTCAGAGGAGGTGGAGGTTTTCCAGGGTGGATGCGTTACTACGGGGGTCCCAGGGCATTCTCCCTCAGAAAATTTCTGAAATTTGAAGTCCTTAAATGCCATTTATTCATGAAATTTGTCCTCACAGTACTTGTATTTTCTTCAAGGGGATGCTGGACATCACTGGGGGGTCGCACCCCCTGCATTCCTCCTGATAAATATACGTATCTTACAACTAGCACAATAAACAATTGTCATACTTCTACTGTACATCGAGCTATTCCATAACTTTCATTGACCGAATTGACAAATTGGGTTAAGGGCTCCCCCGATATTAGTCGTGAAGTGTCCGCCATTGCAACCAAAGAAATGGCAAACAGTCCTACCTGGATTTCACACAAGTAAACAGGTTCGAGCAGACCAGGGGTAGCAGTCAATATACAAGCATAAATACATCGTCTAGCAGTAGGCATGATCTGCCGAGCACCCCGGTGCATAGCGTCAGCATGGACGGTGACGTCATGAATATTAAACCTCACACCACGCAAATTTTCTTCACACAACGGTCCCTTCTTGGATGCCCATTCGAAACCGCCAATAACACTATCCTTGATCTCGTTCAAATATTGCACACCCTTGGAAATATCAATGACAATGTTGGGACCACTGGTCTCCGGTCCAAAACACCAGATCTTACGGGCCTCGCTGACATCGAATCCGTATTTCTCAGCCAAGTATCGTGCACGGGCTTTGATATCCTGGGTTGGATAGACGTCACCTGGTTTGAAACGCATACATAGTTAGCAGGCCTGCAAATAATTATTTTACTTGGAAGGACAAATGTCTGGCCAAGCCAAAAATTGGTCGGACATTTATCAGTTTTTCCCGGACAATGGACAAAGTAAAATGTTTCATATTTTGTTTTGACGATGTATGTTCGCACTGCAATGCATCTAAAACTTAGTATATACAGTATCTATATCAGTCCTAATGCACCAGTAAATTATGGTTCAGGTTATACATAACTTTAATTTGTACTATGTTCTATGTTCTGTGTACTGTGTACCGTGTGTACCGTGTGTACCGTGTGTACCGTGTGTACCGTGTGTACCGTGTGTACCGTGTGTACCGTGCGCTATGACCGTGTGTACCGTGTGTACCGTGTGCTATGACCGTGTGTACCGTGTGCTATGACCGTGTGTACCGTGTGTACCTTGTGTACCGTGTACTGTGTTTCCGAAGGTGATGTAGAATGTAGATTTATAATTAAATCTTGCGGCTTAATGCAGCGAGAAATAGTGGAGAAGTACGGTCTACATTGCTTTCTTGTTGGTTTCATTAATAAAAAATGTGTTAAATAATCAATTTTTTGAGATTAGAAATTTGACTATAGCCTAAATCGGTCGATCACATGTTCGGTCATAAAACGCTTTGATCAGGCAAACGGTAAAATTTGGCTGGACAATGTCCGATGACTGGCACTAATTTGCAGGCCTGAGTTAGTTTGTGGGAACAATTTTACAAAAGCCAACAATAAAGAATTATAGAATAGATGGGTTTCGCTATTGTGCAGCAGATTGAGAGAGATCGTTGAGCAGACGTGGATTAACCAGCAGTTATCAGACTGAGAGAATCGTGTCTTCAATTTGGTATTTGTATTACGCGTGGTAAAAATAACCACTTTCGGCTCAAAAATGGTTATTTTTCCCGCGCGTAATGCAGTCAATGCAAGTATATACAAAATTTGCGAACTTCACAGGGCTATATTTTCCTCATTTTAACATCGTTTCGCAACCAAACTTTGAAATTTTACTCATTTTATCTTTCCAGCTATGGTAATGGTTTCGTTCTTGTCTAGATCAAAATTTCGTCTAAGCTGGAATCATGCGTTGACCAGCATCTGCTGCACGATAGTGCTTTTAGTGAAATCCACCTCGTATTGGTTCCATTCATTAAGCGATACTGTGCAGCAAATTTATCTTCATAACTTTCGACACAAATATAGGAGCAAGCAAGTTCTGCTATATTTCTCAATTCTGTTTCTTTACCATATACAAAATTTGCGAACTACACAGGGCTATATTTTCTCCATTGTACAACATTTCGCAACCAAACTTTGTTTTACTCATTCTAAGATGCTCTTTCTAGCTGTGGTGTTAGATTTAGTTCTTCTTGCCTAGATCAAAATTTAGTCTGTAGCTTCACCCACTGGCTGGCAATCATCAGGGTGGAGAAATATAGATAATATTGAAGCATATATAGTAGTGTTATACTTGGTGCCAAATAGAATTGATAAATGGAGCTAATTAGTTTGCTGCTGGAAATCCAACGCCAAACGAGGATGGCGTCGCAACTCTTGCTCGCGTTTGACCACCAGCTCTTATTGACTCTCATCAACTTTGAGTTGGTTCGTTTGACTGGTAATATCCAGTCAATTCTCGTCAACTCTCATGCTGGAGAGTTGAGAAACTTTCATGCAAACTCTCGCTTACAACTCTCATTCTCATTGATCACCCAGCTCAGTGAAACTAACTAACAACAAAGTACGTACCATGCATTGTCAATATCCACGAACAAACCATCAAGTAACGGTGCTGTTCTCAAAAAATACATACCATTGTCAATATCCTCGGGCAAACCATCAGGTAATTTTGCTGCTCTCATGAATAATCTGTTATGCTTGTTTGGTGATTTCGACAAACAAGTAACACTGGATTCTTCAGTGACAGTTTCACGGTACGATACGACTGGATCTGATGTCTTCAGTGGGATACAGGCATGATCTTCTTCTAAATCTTTCAGGCAAATTTCAAGATGAAGTTCACCAGCTCCAGCCACAATGTGCTGACCACTTTCTTCAATTAGACACTAAAGAAAACAAGAAAGGTACCATGCAGTACTTCTTAAATACAAGAACAATCGTTTTGGTAAAACAAAAAATATCTGGTCTAATAATAACGGTCTGTGCCAGTGTAGATAGTGTCTATAATAAAAAAAACATGGGATTGATAGGGGGCGCCCACAAACCACTTGGCAGCCCTGTAAGGTGGCATAATATTTAAAAACATTCTTTATATGTTCTGGGATCATTCTCACTTAACCGGAGGCCTCAAGGATAATTGAGTTCGGTGTACATACCTGTACCATAGGATCAGATTTAGTCAATCTCTTCAGACCTTCAACCAGTTTTGGCAAGTCAGATGGGTTCTTGGGTTCAACAGCCACACGAACGACAGGCGATACACTGAATTTCATGACCTAATACATTATACATACATACTGTAGATAAGTTTATATTAAATGCCTATAGTACAGTGTAGATCTGAATTGTAAATGCATACATACTGTATAAACTAAGATTAGAATTTCAATATAATGTGTTTATCTAAACTTGTTTGTGGTTTGTAAGTTTGATTAGAGCATCAGTTAACTTCTTCACTGAAATTCTTATCTACAATAATTCAAGTCTCTGTGTGTAATCCCTGAAGATCTTATAACATACCTTCAAGTTATGAGCTTCCGCATACGTTGTGATTGTTCCAGTTTTTACAAGGTACTGATCAACACCGACAAGACCGACAATGTTACCACAAGGAACGTCTTCAATTGGCTCAATGTAACGACCCATCATCAAGATAGTCCTGTAAACATGCTGGTTTTTAGAGCTCGCTAAGCTCTCAGTTGACTGATTCATTTATTATTATTAGTAAAATCGTCTGGCATTAGACAGCGGAGTAAAATAATAAAGTGGGGTGCATTGCAACTTGATGGATTAACTAGACACATACATTAACCAATTGAGTCATTGTCTGATTAACATATTCAATTGAGTCATTGAGTTTCAGCGCTCTCCTCTTGACAAGTAAAATCGTCTGGCGTTAGATAGAGTAAATATTAAAGTAGTTGCTCCCAAAGAGTCTCCATTATTTACGTTCTGCCACAATCCTCATTGAAACACACCGAATGTTACAAGACCCTAACCAGGCAGACAAGATGTGGTGAGAGCTAAGGAGGGAGCCAGGGGTGGGGGCCCCCAATAATCTCAGAAAGCCTTTGAATGGTGGCTGAATAGTTAACTGTGTAACAAAGCTGTTACAATAATTTTACAACCATGAAAGCACTGGTACGCTCAATCTGATACTCATATACTTCCACTACCCCGATACTCACTAGCGGAAGTGAAACCCCTAATAGGCTTTCTAAATTAAGCTAGCAAATTTGCATGAAATTTAGCTCAGAAAATTTAAAGAAATGCAAGTTGCAGCGACAAATTTAGGGTGGTCATATAATGGCAACCTAAATCCCCCCCCCCCCCAATATTTCACAAAGTGTCTGAAGTCAAAAATCTTACCTCTGAATAGGTTTGTTATACAGATCTTCATTCTTGCCTGGGACGTAGTTGGGTCCCATAATTCTAACTTTCTGCCCAGTTCCAACAACACCAGAGAAGACACGTCCAAAAGCATAGAAACGACCTTTATCGTTGGTTGGCATCATTTTTGAAACATACATACACAATGGTCCCTGATGAAAGAAATATAATTAATACATGGCATAACCCCATTTGAGATATTTCTAAAATAGGCTGTTGCAGTATATTGATAAGTATCTTTTTTAAATATTATCGGTTATTCGGTATTTGGTTTTTCAATATATAGATATCCCAAAAATATTGCAATATGTTTGGTATTTTCAGTGTTGAGCGTGCACAACACGGCTTTCCCATAAAATTTCTCGATGTTTAATTGTTTCATTACAAGCAATATATGGTGCGCAAAAGTTCCAAGTAGTCAGTAGTCGTTTGATTGTACGTAAGGGGTTTCACATATCAATTACGAGTCAACAGTCGTGAAATAATATTGCAATTTACAATTTACAATTTATTAAATTCGCACGACGTACACAAATATTTTACATAATTTATATCAAAAATTGTAATCAAGCTTTCAAAGTATTAATATAGTAGCATAATCGTACGCAGTGGTCAAAGTAGCTTTACGCTTTCGGGTCGACCACTGCCTACACAGTGAAAAAGGGAGGCCGAGGTAACCAATCAAATGGTCACCTCACCCTCCGCCTTTCACCGTGCATTTGATAGTTTATTTGAAATGAGTACATTAAATCATTACTGAGCAGATATATTGAATTGACAACAACAAATTTGTAAATAGTTACATTTACATGCATAAATTACAATTTTTGCGATAGCAATAGTGTTTGTTTATACTGTTTTGAAAATACATGACATGACTCATGAGACAGACATTTTTATTTTATAATCGGTAGTTTCCCAAATTTTAGATGAAATTGTCTTAAATGTGTATATTCCATAATTTGTTCTAGTTTTTGGTCTACAAATATTTTGTTTAGCGGCAAACCTGGTGTTGTGTGAGTGCGAAACTGAAGCTGGTGTGACCATATTTTCAAATATTACTGGCATTTTCTCGCTATCATTAATAATTTTATATGTGAAAGTAGCTATTTTATATGTGAAAGTAGCTATTAGTGAAAGATGAAAAATGGAATGTTCCATTCAACTCGGCTAATTTCAACTCATTCGGTGAAAGATGGAATGTTCCATTCAACTCGGCTGTCGCCTCGTTAAATGGAACATTCCATCTTTCACCTCATGAAAATATTCTTACCATTGGAACGTGTTCCATTGCACTCTTGGGAAATGGAATTTTCTATTCAATATCACGTGAACATAAACAGCCAATTAAACGATTAGAATTTAATAAGGTATTATATAACATTTACTGAAAAATAGGAACCATGTTCATCTGAAGTTTGGCAACAAGACAAGGTTTAAGATTTCGCGACTCTCCAGAGTAGAAAAAATGTCGACATTATTTTTCAATATTTGTTCATTTGAAAACCGCAACGACCCATTTTAATAAATACCTGCATGCATGCATACCTTAGGATCACAGTTCTTGATACCCAAAGCAACAGGGTCATCATGAGGTCCTTCATACAACATTTCCATACGGTACTTCTGAGCGGTGATAGGGGATGGCAAATGAATGGTTATCATCTGAAGTAGAGCTTCACCAGCTTGGAGCCATGTTCTCATCACAGCTTTCAATAATTTCTTGCCTTCTTCCTCCTGTATTTGAAAACAGGGTCAATTTACAGCCCTCAAAAACGAGGTCGGCATTCGACCTTAATCCAGCAGAACTATCTTTTTTCAGCTGTTGACAGCAGTTCAAGAAGCCATCATGTTCGTTTGTTATTCCTTACAAAGTATTACAACTGTGACACCAGGTGGCCTTATTCGCAGCCCATAATTCCTCCCTAGTACAATCAGGAAAACTGTGAAGCTTGTCAGTAATTCTGAGTAATGTCCAATACAGGCATCTGATGTCTGATGGTGAAGATGGTGTACGGTGGTGTATGATGGTTGAAGTGTTTCAGATGGTTGTCAGATGGTGAAGATGGTACAGATGGTGTATGATGGTCGAAGTGTGTCAGATGGTTGTCAGATAGTGTATGATGGTGTATGATGGTCGGAGTGTTTCAGATGGTTGTCAGATGGTGCATGATGGTGTAGGGTGTAGGGTGGTTATACAGCGAAGGGTTGTCAGATGGTGAAGATGGTACAGATGGTGTATGATGGTCAAAGTGTGTCAGATGGTTGTCAGATGGTGTATGATGGTCGAAGTGTGTC